AATTACTTCTTAAGTTGATGCAATGAGGAAATCGTAAGGAGAAAGTTTACCTCATAGTCATCCGAGTTATTCCGTGCTTCACATTGTAACCTCTACTTTGTAAGTCGTTTAGGTTGTAACCGTATAATTCATAATAGTGTTAGTCAGGACGCAACTTTTTGGCCAGTGAACTCCGTCGAAGCAAAGTGGCCAGGAAATTGCCCTCTGTCGGAGATCCCGTCATCCGACGAACAATATTTCAGAATATGATCTGTAGGTTATAGATTGCTACTCGAAATATATATTTTTCTATTGCCTTGGACGTAACGGACTTGTGAGAATTATATTAAACATCAGACGAAGAGATCTGGTTTCGGTCTGATCGTTTTGAGTTGATCCACTGTTTGGAAGAAGAAACGATATGGCGGATACATCAGATTCCGACCGTTTTTATACCGATGTAAGTCTTGTTTATTTCTGTAAGTCTTACTGAGGTGTTGCAAATTAATTCTTGAGGATAACTGCAAACATTTGAATATTTCAAATTGAATTTCTTTAGCTCGTGTTATTATTCTGATAGTGGACGTGGGATTTATCGCATAGTTTCATTGTCACCGTCCAAATTATCCAATTCCCAATGCCAAAAGATTCCCAATTTTCTATTGCTTTTTGCTAAATGAGCTTTGTTTCAGCTGAAAGAAACCGAGAGGAAGGATTCCGTCTTAACGCCGAAACAACAAATTGATCGATTGCTGAGACCCGGTTTTTTACATATTTGAATCTTAATACCTTTGAGGTGATATTATCGTTCTTCATTACTTGTACCGTTTTTGAATTTCATTCATTAACACAGTTATCATCTCCATACTTGAAAGTGGTCCGTTTGTTTGACAAGTGAAAACATTCAGGAAATTGAACGAGCTGGATTTCAGTCTGCTTTTTTTTCAGGTTTTACAAATTCCTCCAGATACTGATGTGGAGGCGGCGAAGAAGAAGTACAAAGGGGTAACCTTTTTACTGATATGCTACTATTTTTCTCAGTTTCAATTTCCTTCAGCTAAGCTTTTTCATAAGCAACATGCTTAAGTGGGTAGCGCTTGAGAGGTTACCTTTTTACCGTCCTTCTCTGAATCCCAGTCACTCAGTACGTCATCCATAGTTGGGTAGTCACCTTTGCCTCGAATTTCTTTCTTTTGCAATTCTTTCCTCAAATCGCATTCAGCGTTAATGAACAGGACAAGCTCAGAGAATGCATCGCAGTTTTTTGACAATTTTCGGAAAGTGTAACAAAAGCCGATGATACGATTTTCGAAAACAGCCTCTATATTAAGAATTTTCTGATTTCGGCCTATGTTCTGTTCTGAGAAATTGTTACGCATGTGAACTGGATGAAATCAGTTTGCATGATACTTCAGAACTGATCAATTCGATCAATTGTCGCCAATTAGCTAACCTCTTTCTCATTTCTTGTGATATTTTTCGGTTTCAGCTCTTCAACCTGTTTTACACGCTCTAATTCTTAATTGAGCGCTGCTTTTCGCTCTTTTATCCTTGTCTAGAAACTTTCCTCTGTTTTTTCTTTCAAATCGACAACGATTAGACGAAAACTACTCAACGTCTAGCGAATGCTCAACTAACGATGTGTATTAACAATAACATCTATCTAATTATTTGTGGATATGTGAACTATCTAACCATTGTGAGCTAATGCATTGGCTAATGATTACGAACGATTTCGTTGCTAATTCAAATAAGAGACTTTGGATATCGTAATCTAGTGCTGATGTTTATGCTCAAATGTGGAGAAAGATCTACAATAGTGCCGGAAATCATTAATAAGTTTATAGAGCCTTGATGTGTAACGTTTATCTTTTTTAGGCTTGCCTTCGCTTTCAGCAGCAACTGCAGCAGCTTTTTCGCTTCCTTTGGAACTCTTTTTATGAGTCGGTGTTTTTGTTGTATCAACTTTACCTTTTGCTTTATCCGATTTCATTTGTTTTGCTGAGTTCTTACAATCTTCTGCTTTTGTTTGCTTCGTGTGCAATTTACATTTGAATGCTTTCTGGAATGATGTTCGAATGCTTTTTGATACGTTATGAGATCAAATTCGTATCATTACATAGTAATAATGATCGTATTATCATGCATTGCTGTCGTAATTGTATTGTGCTCGTTTATCATATTATTTTATCATGTTCTAGTGTTTGGGTGGTTGTGTTTACTTATGGTCATGATAGAGGAGAATTATTTCTTCGTAGCCTTAGGTCTTTGAATACGAGTTAGGACAACGTGATGTCTGATATTGAAGTAGCATTTTCGATTGTATCTGCACATAATCAAATTGCTGAAAGTGAAACTTACATGATATTTTACGTATTCATATTCAACAGGTTTTACCGGTTTAGACTTTTATCATTGTGCCACTGAAATCGATAGAATCTCATAAATCCGTAATTTTCTTCAAGCGAATAGGTAAGCGTATAGTTTTTGTCATATTG